TGTTATGAGATGTATAACCGCACTTGCTTGAAAAGCCTCATGACAAAAATATGTTTATAAATGTTAAATTCATTAAGTGGTAATAACTTTATGAAATTTCAATATATCTGGCCCTCATAGCTAAGTGGGAGATGTTGATACGTGTGTGTGGCCATGGGGCCTTTAAATGTGTAATTTTCTTTCTCTTATAATTTAATGCTTATCACTAAATAGAGAGAGAAAGTGTCGTTATCTAACTGATAGAATGCAATCACCCACTTCACAGGATTATAGGGCCACGTTTTCTCAAAGATTTCAAAAGGAAGCCGGACGTTGGAGAACGGCCTCCTCCATCCCTATTTAAGAAGGTTTTCATGGTCATGGAAAGGTACACAGAAATTTAGAGTGTTCTCATAATTCTGGTAAAAGTCTGATCTCTGTGATCCTCAGTCTCACGACACTGCTCCTAATCTTGGGAATTTAGGAATCCATCTCTTCCCACATATTCCAACACTATGTGCCTCTTGGGGGATTGGTGGTGTGGGTATTAGATTGAAGGTAAAATCAAATGAACAATGAATAAATTTTATATCCCCCAAATTGAGGGACTTAAGGGCTTGGCACCTTGTCAGGCCTGACCAACTTTGACATGTCTGTCTGAGTCTACTCACCCAAGGTAGCAAACCCTGCGATTAGCAAATAAAAAATTATAATAATATATAAAGTTTTAGGTAGAGAAATAGAAGAAAGGAAATTGTTTCATACGGGCTGGACCACATTTCTATAATATGTTGTCCAGAGGTATAAGGTATCCATCTTAAAGATGGATGCAAATAGTTAGTCCACCTAAAAAAAAGTGTAACTAACGGTTCAAATGTTTTATTAATATAATTATTATTTTTAGTAATCAAATTATTAATTTTTTCATATTCATGATCTCCACATTAAAGATTATATATTCTCTAAAAATTATGATCAAATTATATTTTTAAAATAATATTTATTGTCAAGCCCGCATTTTTACAAATTGAATAGGGAAAGAAAAAATAAATAATATATATATATATATATATATATATATATATAATGTTATAAGGATAGCTTTGCTGATTCTACACTATGACAGTGCACTTATCGGCCGATTTTTAAAACAAATGGCCGATTAATGTATTAATCGGTCAACTAATGGCGATTAGTCGGTCGATTAGTGCAATGAAAAAAAAAATTAGAGAGAGAAAAAGGAGGTCAAAAGTACGAGGTCGGGCTATAAGTAAAGAACATCGGACCGAGGTTAAAACAGTAAAACAAAAAACACACCCCTTAACGGGACCGCCTCACACTTAATGTGAAATGTTTAACATCAGACCTGGAGTAAACTTGTCAAAAAAAGAAAACAATTGAAATTCCATCCCGAATAATAACAAACCAATTTTGGGCCGTTTAGGCCTTTAATCTAGTCCGTACAAAAATTGCCCTTTTAAAATTTAAAAATCCCATTATTTGTTTATCTTTCCCGTAAATCACTTTCGTTTTAGTCTTGATAGATTGCAGCTTCTACCGTTGAAAAGTGTGAGCAGGGGCAAAAGACGTCACATGCGATTGGTAAATATCACGCGTCTAATTCGAAAACGCTTGGTTGTAAAAAAACGGATAGGAATTGACCCCTGATTTCTCCTATGCCACGTCACCCGATCACAATCTCTGGCTTCTTGCGGAAGGAACCGCGTGTACCGGAGTGGCACGCAAAAGACTTTTCTTTTCTAATATAATATATTTATTTTGTTTTTGACTTTTGTAACCGTATCCATTCTTTGTTTAAAGCCCACGAGTCTCACAATTCCACACGCTTCCTCTCATTAAGACCCAAGCCGGCCGTTTGAGTGTGCCAACATGTACAATTACAACCACTGTCCTCATAACCAGTACGCCAGTTAAGGAGGCTATAAATTTTATGAATATGGTTCTTGTGAGTCCGCGGACTCATATGTAGATATACGGCTCCTTTAATAACTTTTTTTTAAGAAATTAAATTTTGATGCTGATTTTTAAGGATGTACCATTCCTAACCCGCATTCGCAAAGTCAGTAGAGTAGGTTGTACTGGGCGTGTTTAGCTCAAGACTTTGTCGTCCCAGAGTTGTCTCTAGTTGGATATCCAACTCGGGGATATAAGGAATTCATTTGGGATGTGCTTTTTATATTTCCTATCACTTTGGAAAAATATTGGAAAGTGTTTCGGTCATAAAAACTTATTTCTATATTTTTTATTTTTTTTCGATTAATTTTGAAATATTCTCAACCACAAGTTGAATTTTTTAAATATATTATTTTTATTTTTTTTTAACCTTATTTTGATGTTGTTTGTTGAATCTTACTTATACATTTCATATTTTTTGGATATTGTTTATATTTTTTATGATTTTTTAATCATTTTTTGGTTGCCACAATACTCGGCACTACATGGCTCGAGGTACTCGGACTTGGTCCGAGTACTCGGATTGGGTAGTGGTTTCCATCATTGTTCCTATACCATGGGAATCACCATTAATGTGTAAAAGAATTTTAAAAACTAAAAATGATAAGTTTTAGAAGGAAATATTTTTGCTATTGATTTTACTTTTTTTCTTGGAGGGACCATCACTTACATCCATATTTAAATGGATGATTTATACCTCAGGAGATGCAAATGTAGGAATGTGTCCCTAATGCATAGATTATTTTTCCTATTTTTATTTAATTTTTCGTTCTTTTTGTTTTTGGACGACTATTTGTCGGTTAAAAAGTGAGAGAAGCCATTTATGGAAAATTTATTAAATTATTCATGAGTAATAAATAATTAAATATATAATTGTACAGTACTACAATATTTATCTTTCTTATGAGGAAAAGTTTATATAAGTGCAAGGCTCTAAACAATCAAATCAGGGGACACCTCAAAGATTTCACTAAAAGAGGTCGTTTTGATGCCAAAATATCCTCTAATTGATCATCTCGACCTTAGGATACATGAACGTGAGAAAAAAAGAAAAAAGGACTTCACGTTTTGGAAATAGTTCATCTTGTAATGCATTTTTTGACCGTCAATTTTCAAGATTTTCAAATTTCCATAGATACGCTCGATCTACAGTATATTTGAAGCTTTAAATTTTGTTATTAGAGATGAAAATATATTTTAAGGTTTTCACAAAGACTTCCAGTATTGAAATCACATTTCTCGACATTATTTGAAGGTATGCTTAGAGTCTCGGTTTTATACAAACTACATCTTTATTATAAAGGAGGTCACAATTACTCCTAGCTATAAAATGCCAAATTAGAGGGTTTCGGATGCTTCATGAAATTCAAGAAACGTGTATTGACTATGAATCTAATCAGTTACATACGCAAAACCACATGATTTGAGATCTAAAGGATAAGACTAATTGTGACTTTCATGTCCCAGAAGTAAATGGTCTCTTTCTTTACTTTTCCATTTAATACTTTGCTAAATATTTTATTTTATTTACAAAATACATATTAAAAATATATTGTCCGGAAGAGTTACAAATAAACAAAATGTTAAATACTCTATCACTTATGGGCATTTGTTATTTTGATGAGCGTGAGGTTTGTATAAGGCACACTAATTGTAAGGTAAAGCTAAGGTACATCTCCAAAATTTGTCTAGAGATGTAGTTTCAATGTTGAAAATATACCATTAATTTAAGATCTATTTTTAATCCTTAGTTCTGCAATTTAAAATTTTAAAAATAGTATAGATCAAAACAAATCTATAAACTAATACAAATCTTGAAAATAGATGATCTATAGAACTTGTTACAAGATATACTAATTAAAAGCATAACATCATATGGATTTCAACACTTGAAGAGCATCTTTCCACCTCTCTCAAATTGTTTAACGTGCCAGATGGGCCTTCGTCGCCGTGTTGCTAGCCACCATCACCGCCAAGACAGTGCCTTCGTCGCTGCCTCCCTAGCCACCACTTTTACCTTGTGTGCTTGTGTTTGTTTTTGGAGTTAGTAGGGGCTTGAGATGGTTGTCACTTATTACAGTTGGACTGATTTAGTTGGATTTTGCCTGCTTTTATGTATTGTTCAGCTGAAGTTTATATTTTGTAGTGGTGACAGTTGAGTGGGTTGTTATGTGGAAATAGGGAGTTCTCCTACAACATAAAACTTATATACTTCCCCTTATCCAACCATCCATTCTAAATGGAGGGCTAAGATTGCCCGAATCACAATGTCATGTCTCTATACTATTTTATTTTTAATTTTTTTCTATAAACTATTTTGACATTAAATTTTGGACATCCAATCGTCTATTAAACTCGCACTAGCGAAAAAAAAATATATATATTTCCAATAAAATAAAATGACCAAAATACCCTTGAAAGTTTCAAGGGGTATTTTGGTCATTATATTTTATCAAAAAACCCCATTAAGAAAATGACATGTACCAAATTTCATATTCATACAATTTGTATAAAAAAAACTAAAAAAAAATACTTTAAGACGTCGGATCTAAGATCAAATCGTGAGTGGCTGTTTTAATCAAAATTAGACGGCTGGTTAATAAGGGAAGCATAGATCTTCTATGTTGTAGGGGAAGTATAAAAACCTTTCCCTTTTGTAATACTTATGGAGCTTTGATCCTCTATATAATGAAACTGTTTCAAAAAAATGTACCTAGAGTTTTTTCTTGTGACTACACATTTCAAGGTTAAGAGATGATCAATTTAAGAGTTCTCCACCATCGGAAGATGATCAATTTAAGAGTTCTCCACCATCGGAATACGCTCTTCTCGAGGATTTTCGAGGTGCATCTTCCAGTCCTTCAAAATTACAACGTCATATAAAATTTTCCTTGGATAAATTGATCATTTGCGGCAATTATGCTTAAGCAATAGAGTGGTAGAGTTGGTGAGAGAGTTGTAGGGGAAGTATAAAAACCTTTCCCTTTTGTAATACTTATGGAGCTTTGATCCTCTATATAATGAAACCGTTTCAAAAAGATGTACCTAGAGTTTTTTCTCGTCACTACACATTTCAAATTTCAAGGTCAAGAGATGATCAATTTAAGTGTTCTCCACCATCGGAATACGCTCTTCTCGAGGATTTTCGAGGTGCATCTTGCAGTCCTTAAAAATTACAACGAGTTCTCCACCATCGGAATACGCTCTTCTCGAGGATTTTCGAGGTGATTCTTCCAGTCCTTCAAGATTACAACGTCATATAAAATTTTCCTTGGATAAATTGATCATTTGCGGCAATTATGCTTAAGCAATAGAGTGATAGAGTTGGTGAGAGAGCACGCAAGTGTGCCACGATAGAAGTATCGAAAGAAAAAAAAAAGGAAAACTCCCCTCCCCCTCCAACGCAAAAGGATAGTTCTAAAATAAAGGAAGTAATTGGGAGGCAACTATGTAATTTTGTTTCACCTTCTCTTCCCTACCCTAAAATTGAAGGAAAAGTGTAGGTGATAAAACACAGTCGGCCTCATGATACCCTCCGATTTTCGATAGAGAGGGAGACGGAGATGGAGGCCCAACTCCAGCCCCCTGACGATTTCAAATGCCCAATTTCGCTGGAGATAATGTCGGACCCCGTCATCCTGCCGTCCGGCCACACCTTTGACCGCGCCTCCATCCAGCGGTGGCTCGACTCCGGCCACCGCACCTGCCCCATCACCCAACTCCCCCTCCCGCCTCACCCCACTCTCATCCCTAACCTCTCTCTCCGCTCCCTCATCTGCCTGTGGTCCAAATCCCACAACCACCCCCTCCCCCAACCCCTGCCATACTCCTCCACCACCACCCCCTCCATACATAGCCTCATCCTCTCCCTCTCCTCCCCCTCCTCCACCCTCCCCCACAAACTCCACTCCCTCCACCACCTCAACCACCTATCTCGCCACTCGCGGCACCTCTTGACGGATTCTGGTGCCATCCCAGCTCTCCTTGCCTGTGCAAACGACCCCCGATTGCAGTACCCTTCCCTCCTGGTTCTCTTCAATCTCAGTGACACTGATCACAATAAAGTCGGGCTGGTCGCCGAGGGTGTGGTCCCTACGCTTGTTAGTGCCCTATCTACAGGTTCCCCTGCTGCACGAGCCCTCGCCGCGACCACTACGACCAGTTTGGCCCTTGTCGACGTCAACAAGGCGACAATCGGGTCCTACCCTGGGGTCATCCCAGCGCTCATAAGGCTTCTTTCTGATGTTGACCATCCGCGGGGCAGGCGCGAGGCCGCGACGGCACTGTATACTCTGTGCGCATTTCCCGACAATCAGCGGCGCGCAGCTGAGGCCGGTGCTGCTCAGCCGCTTCTGGGAATGGGATTGCACTCTGCGGAGCGGCCTGCTGAGGTTTTAAGTCTGATGGCGAAGTGTAAGGAGGGAAGAGAAGCGATCGAGAAGTGTGAGGGTTGTGTTGGAGTTCTGGTTAGGGTTTTGAGGGAGGGGAGTTCTCGGAGCAAGCAGCATGCCCTGGCGACCTTGGCGAGTCTTTGCGAGCACAACGCGTGTTTGGCTTGGGATGCAAGAAGGGAAGGGGCTCTCTGTTGTGGGGCTCAGATGGTGAAGGATGAGAATGTGAAGATTCGGAGGAATGCGATGAGACTGGTTAGGGCTTTGGAGAAGGGTTCCGATTCGAATTCAACGCGATGAATGACTGAATTTGGGGTTTCTTCTGGGTTGCCATTTTTTCTTTGTTCTGTGGATTGATGGCGGGAAGTGGGCTGTAATGTTTGCATCTTTCTTCCTCTGCTTTGTTTTCTTCATGAATTGGTCTTGTATAGTATGTTTTACTGGAAAGAATGGGAATTTGTGCTGGTCATTAATTCTTGTTCATTACAGAGTTCTTTCTCATTGAGTATTTGGGGTCTGTCTGGGCCTAGGGTTTTGGCCCTTCGCATATCTCGAGTTTTATCCTTATCCCCGAGGTCCTCTTGCTTAAGGAAAGTCGGGTTTTGGGTATCTTACTTTTGGGGCGCTTTGTTTCTCTTCATCTCTTTAAAGAAAATAATGGGGGTTTATTTCATCCTTGAATCGAAATACATTCTTTGTTTCCTTTGAAGAATTCATCAAATTTCTGATAAGATATCAACAATTTAACACCATACCCATATATTCTCATTTAATTTCAAGACACCTATAACAAAAAAGCATATCATTTTGACCTAGAATAGATGGACATGATATTAAATAGTTGGCTTCTTCTAGCTTATTTTATGACTTTCCGATCTCCAGCATATATTGGATGAATCATGCTCTTGGTTCTAATTGGCTCAGCTTTTTATTGCCAAAAGCCAATGAATTATTGTAGTTTGTTATTATCTCAAAAGCCAATGAATTATTGTAGTTTGCTATTATCGCCCTTGGATAACACATTTGGGTGGTCAACTCTTCCATGGAGGCATTTACCTTCTTAACTCTTTCTTATGAAATTTTAGCAGAATTTACCCTTTGCTGGGATCAATTTGCAGTATGAATATTTGAAAAATCTAGCTTCTAGTTAACCTCTATAAGTTTAGGTCTGGTCTGAGAGTTTACCACGACAAGAACACTCTTATTCACTGGTCACCCTAGTAAGGTTAGGAATTGTTTCAGAGGTTTATCGGCACAGCAGACTTATTCTTGGTCAACCCCTGAAAAGATTGGGTTCTGATTTAGAGGTTTATCAACATAGCAACAAATTTGGAGGCACGAGATAGACTCGCTTTTTTTGAAATGTTAAATACCTATGACTTGGAAAATTTTGAGATACAATCGGTCCAGGGGAGTACAAGCATCTAAGATACTGTTCGATCAGTTTTGCACATCCTGAGTCTCTGAGTTACACACTCAAATTACTTGTTCTCTGAGTTACACACTCAAATTACTTGTCTATAAATACGTTACCAAATACTAGTATGTCTTCTAATAGGTAATAGTACATATAAAACATCGATTGGAAATATAGTTCCAAATTAACAAGCATCTCTTTTGCTTTTTGAATAGTGACTTAAATTTCACTAATTTAGATGTACAACGAGAGGTGCACAAGAAGTGGGAGAAAAAAAAAAGGAAAAATATCTCCTTATCCCTTATTTTTAAGTTTCATTTCTTAATAAACCCAAGGTTTCAAAAGATATTTTCTAACCCCCTGACTATTTTAAACCTATTTTTTAATCTAAACAAATGTGAGAAAGACATGCTCTTTCTAAACCCAATCATTTCTCTCTTCACTTATATATCCCAAACTTCTCTCTTTCCCTCTCTTCATGTGTCTCTGACTCTCTCTCTCCTCCCCTATTTCTCCAAACACCTCTCTCTCTCTCCTCCCGGTAACTTCTCACCTCCATGAAACCCTTTTCTCTCTAGAAGTTTGGGCGGATGACCTTAAAAAATGCATGTCTTTTTAAATGTTTGGCTTGAAAAAAACGTTTAAATTAGCTCAGGGGGTCAAAAGAAATAAAATCTACAATTTGTATGCCTTAAGTTTAAAACCATGGGTCTATTGTGAAATGAAACTTAAAAATAAGGATTATGAAGATATTTTCTCCAAAAAAAAAAGGAAATACAAAGAGAGCAAAGAGAAGAAATCAAAAGAGGGGGAGGCATAGTATGGGAAAACAAAGAGGAAAAATATAGAGCATGAGAGGAAAAGAAGAGCAAGGTTCACCAAAGAAAGAATGAATCCTAGCCATAGGTACTTGGGGTGAAAGATAGAATGAATCCTAGCCATAGGAACTTGGGGTGAGTTTATGCTTTAGTTGGATTGATGGTTCTTTTGGTTGGCTCCTTCCCATTCCCCAAGGCCACTCTGGGAAAGTTTTTAACTTGGGATGGTGTTTAGGCATATTTTTTAGGACCTCCTGATTTACCCTGCCCCTAGGTGGGGTCTTTTTTTATGATTCTTTTGTTGGGTTTATGTGGCTCTTAAAGGGCTTAAGAGAGATTGTATAAATATTTGAAATAAATGAATCATAAACTCAGTTAGAGTGTGGTCCTCTTGTGGACCATACTCAGCAAATGTAATTTGCCGATACTCGAACTAGGCTTGACGTGCTAGGCCAGCCAAGTTGGAAAACCCAAGGTACCTGAGCATAGAGATGAAACCGATGAGGGTTTAGTGGGTTAGCCCTTGATGAGGTCGAAATATGCCTAGATAAGAGCCGAGGGACTATGTTACCTTCGTATGTGATGAATAGTCCATAGAGACAAGTCTAAAACCTCATCGTTGTATCATCACACAACATGTACATAAATAGTCATACTAAGATATTAATCCACCATTGAGGGTGAATCATGTACATATACGAGAGATTACCCTTATGTACCATAGAGTCATGATTGCATCATGGTCTGGCGGATCAAGGTTTTTTTTTAGGGGAGAACCTGAAATCCACATACTAGGATTATATCCCCTAGCCCATTGATTGAGTTTGACAGTCCAATCATGAGCCCCTACAGTAGACTGTGGCTCATGGGAACTGCTGGGTCAGTTTGAAAAAGCTAGTGTGGATCGTGGTCCACAGTTGAAAGTGTAATGCTCTTGTGCGTTGATTAAATCCTTAACCTATTCGGTTATCCGATTCCTATCAAAATTAATTTAATTTAATTAATTTTATGTTATATGATTTTTAGGATGTTTATTTTTGTGATTCTTCTAATATTTTAATTAATGTCATTTGGATTTATAAATTAAGAGAAAATCATATTTCAGTATTTACAATATTCAAAGTAAATAATATTTATTCCTAAAAATCTTAAATATTTTTATTAATATTTTTTTTTCCACATAGGGGACCCATGGGGTCCACCATGCTTACCATGAGATGGTATGTGGGGACCACCCATGCTCACCATGGGTGGCACGCCCCATTCCATAAGCCTTTTATTCAAGGCATGTATGTAAGCTTTGATATTGAAAGGTGGCTTATAAATCATATTTAATATATCTTGAAAATCAAGTTTTGGAATAAGAAAGAGATATTCACTAAATAAGCTTATTTGATGGAAATAGGTTTAGGAAGGGGGGGATAAGGTTCTAGCACGTTCCTTAACATCTGGATAGTGGATTTAGGGAATGGATGACTCACATCTCTCACCTCACAAGTTTTTTTAGATTAACGGTCAAGATTTGCTCATACGATTTTACAACAATAATGTATAAAAAATCTATAAATGGAATCATTCTCTGCCCTTGTCTCTACACCTCTTACTTGTTCTTTCTTCTCTCTCTAAAATAGAATTTCTCTCTAGCCTACCTCTCTCTCTCTCATTAGTTATAAATCAAGCTAGGTTTTGGTTATGCGATTTTATGGGCAGCAAAGGGATCATCCCTTGCTAGTAGTTTCTCCCTCCTTTCTTAATTTCTATATATCATAAGGATCAGGCCAAGGGGTTTGAATTAGGTCCAAGCATTAAGGCTTTAGGTGGGTGGTTCTAGATTAGGATCTATGTGCATTATTTAAGTTTTACCATAAGAACGATAAATCAAGAGACCGATCAAAGATCCCAAGAACCATCAGAAGGAGGAGACTTGGAGTGGGGTGTACTAAGCCACGTTGAGGTAATCTCTGACGATTTTACTGCTTTAAAGTTCTATTTTATGTTATGTTCTTTGCAAAGAGTCTACTTTTTTTTTATTATTATTATTATGTAAAAGCTTTGTTTTAGATGGTAGCAACTGAGATCCTATTTTTTCTTTATTTATTTATTTCAAGTGAAATTCAATTGTAATAGGACATTGTGAGTGATCTTGCCGATGAAAGAAAAAGAAAATTTTAAATATATACGCCGTGTATGATTACATAGTCATTCTTTCATTGGTATCAGAGCTAGATTCTTGTTAGCTCTAAGATTTCTTTTATATACTTTTATTGAGTCCTAGATTGCTTTTTGGGAAAGAAAGATGGCCACATGCACTTTCATCTCCAAGTTCCTTAAAACCAAAAGGTTTGATGGAACAAACAACTCCTCATGAAAGTGCAAAATAGGATATAGGCTCTATGAGGCGGGGTTGGATGAGATTTTGACCATGCATCACCCTTCTCATCCAACTAGTGATTCATCCCTAGACAAAAAGGATGAATTACTTGGAAGCGTAAGAATATGCGAGCTAGGCATATCTTTCTTTGTACGATGGATGACTCATATGCATCCGAATATGAGTCAATTAGCATGAAAAGGAGTTTGCGTATCCATCCATTATGAAAAAATCCATTGCCATGAAAAGTACAGTGAGCTTAAGATGAATGAGGGCACAAAGATGTCGGATCACGGGCACACTTTTCGTGCACTTATTCGAGATGTGCAAGCTACTGAAATTCAACTTGATGAGCCCATACAAGTGGTTCGTCTTATGAATTCACTTCCCAACTCTTGGAATACTTTTATCAATTCCATTTCGGCATGACAAAAGGCTCCCAAACTTGAGGAGCTTATCAGCCTACTCAAGGGAGAAGAAGAAAGAAGGAATGCGCTCCATGCTCCGGCACCAAAACTGGCGGTGCATATGGTAAAAAGTAAACCCTTCTTGAAGCCTTTTAAGGGAAAGGGAAAGAACACTTATAAGAAGAAGAGAGGAATTACGGAGAGAGAAATAAAAGGGAAAAGAGAATAGAGCTTGTTTTATTTGCAAAATGGTCGGCCATATAGCAAGAGAATGTTGTTCAAATAAGAATTTTGGGACCAACAAGGAACTTGCTTGTGTGGTCTTCAGAACTTTGCTAGCCAACCCCAAGGGTACCTCTTGGTGTCTTGACTCGAGAGCTACGACCCACGTGACAAATACCAAAGATGGATTTTGATCTTTTACTCCCGTGGGGTGGGGTGAGCAACATATCTTTATGGGATGAAATCAA